GTGTCAGTGGATGACGAAGGTATATGACTGGTGCAAACATGATAATCATGAGACGCGTGTCTTGTAAGAACATGACATCATATCACGCTGTTAGCGTGCTCGCGGCCGTTTCGTTATCTCCACATATAGTACATTTGACATCGCGTGACGTGAATAGATGAAGAAGGCAAACGACACATCCAAAGATTGCAATAATGACACGGAAGTCGTGTACGGCATAATTTACCCCCACCTCTTAACGGTGTGCTGATTTGAAAGTGGCATATCAACCTTCCTCAATCAATCAATCAACCAATCAATCAATGAATCAATCAATCAATCGATCAATTAATCAATCAATTATTTTTTATTTATATTGATAATGTGGACTACAGGACAAAAAGCTCAAGAGCTTGACGAGGTCCTGACCCGGTTCACATGTTGACAAAGCAGCGGGAATGGCAGACAATCATGCACAACAAATATGGAATAAGCATATAGGTATAACATCACAAAAGAGTAATACAAAAAGTTTATGAAAACAGTGCTAAGATAAATAGATAATAGTTCAAATGTATGGTCATGAAGTGGCATGAACATGAAAACCAATAATAGAAAGGAAAGAATGGGCATAAATTCTGAGAGATGTATCATCAGTTGGGCGAAGTGACAGTTTGTTTCTGACAGTTTTGTTTAGAGGAAGGATCGAAATCTTCGCGGCTTAAAAAGTTTAACAAAGAAGGTAGTCTGCAGGACAATAATTTCTTGTCATAAAAAGTTCTTGGGGTGGGTACAGTCCAAACTTCTTTGTGCCTGGTGAGTAGAACACATTGTTTACGCTAAGCTTAGCGAGATTTATTGTGGTATTGGTGCCATGTTTGATAAACCCTTTATAGCATAACATCAGCCTGTAATTGTACAAAAAGAAAACTGGAAGAATATCATATTTTAGAAAAAGAAGTTTTGTAGAGGACAGATAGTGTTCAGCCGCAATATGTCGTACGGCCCTTTCCTGTAGTAAGTGCAACTTGCGCAAATTCGTCACACCGGTTGTGCTCCACACTTAGCTACGGTACTATAACACAAATATTACCAATGCATTGTATATCATAATTTTCACCCTAATGGGAAGAAGAGACCGCATACGTGCAAGGACACCAATGGCCGATGACATCTTAGCGTATAGAATATCAACATGTACATTCCACGTAAGATGTCGTGAAAAATATACACCAAGAATACTAATAGAATCAACCATGTCTAACAGCTTAGAGCCCAGAAATGAGCTCATCCTATTTATCAAGATTTTTCCTTTAAGAGCATATAAAATGACTTGTGTTTTTGAAGGGTTTAGTTTTAGTAAATTCACTGAAGCCCAGGTATCTATAGCAGACAGTGTTTTATTAGCATTCGTGCTTCGCATATCATCGATTCCCACTGTACAAGGATTCTGCCAATTTCCTCTAGCTGCACATTATATTGATTGATATGTGGGGCTTAACGTCCCAAAACCACCATATGATTATGAGAGACGCCGTAGTGGAGGGCTCCGGAAATTTCGACCACCTGTGGTTCTTTACCGTGCACCCAGATCTGAGCACACGGGCCCACAACATTTCCGCCTCCATCGCAAATGCAGCCGCCGCAGCCGGGATTCGTACCCGCGACCTGCGGGTCAGCACCCGAGTACCTTAGCCGCTAGACCACCGCAGCGGGGCTAGCTTCATATATACCAAATTTGTTATTGCATGACGTCAATATACGACGAAGGTAATCATGATATGCGTGCCATGTAATCATGATAATCATGATATGCGGGCCATGTAAAACATGACTACATGTTACGCTCATAGCGTGCTCACGGCCGTTTCACTAGTTCCCCATAAACCAAATTTGGTATTACGTGACGTGAATGATTGACGAGTGTAAAGGACACGTCCAAACATGATAATCATGACACGCATGTAATGTAAAACTGGGCTGCATGCTGCGCTCATAGCACACTCGTGGCCGTTTCACTAGCTACACATATACCAAATTTGGTATCAGGTGGCGGGAATAAACGAGGAAGGTAAATTACACGTCCAAACATCATATTTATGACATGGAAGTCATGTACGGCATAACTTACCTGCGCCACGTAACGTTGTGCTGATTTCAAACCGACATATAAACGTTCCTCACTTGTGCTTCGCATATCATCGATTCCCACTGTACGTGGGATCTGCCAATTTTCTTGTGTTTTCATGTATATAGGTACGTATACATATTGTGTGAAAGGCGCCGACGCCGACGCCGATGGCGAAATCCTGCTGAGAGTGTTCATATAAGTGCTATCGCAGTAGAATTGGCGGTGTATCTGCGTGCTTCGCAGGCAATGTTCGTGGACAGACGATAGTATTTTGTCTGGATAGAGAGAGAGAGAGAATAAAATGTTTCTTGGACGTTCTACGTGAGAAAATTTGTGAGTAGGCTTTGCGTGAGCTATGGAGTCAACCTGGAAGTAATTCGAAGAAATTAAATTTCTCTAGAACACAAAGTCATCAGTAGGTAGACTGCCCCATGGAAGTTTTAATGGAGCGTAAAGAACGCCTGTTCTTAAGTCATAGCGTCGCTTGGCCAGCGCTGCATAATAAGCACAGTTGATTTTAGAGTTACGTATCTATGCATTTTAGAATTAGGGTAACACATTACCAAATGATTCCTCTCTGATGTTGCAGCGAAATGTACCTAATATTGTTTTTTTTTGCTTTACCATGTTGACCAGTATGAACACAGTCAGGAGACCAAGGTGGTAAACAATTGCTCTGATAGTTAAATCGAAAGACCGACAGATGCAACTGGAGAGCGGAACGAAATTTCTACATCGAAGTATCCCAAGAATACTGTATTATACTGATGGGCGACTTCAATTGCAAGATGAGGAAGAAGTAGGATGGAGAACAGACTGTAAGGAATAATGGCATCGGTACTAGAGTCTAGAAATGCCAGATGAGAGTTATTAGTACAATTAGCGAGACGCAATAATTTACGGATCTTGAATACCTTCTACCGAAAACGAGGCACGTACTTATATACATAATTGATACTTAGAGATTAGGCTTATGAAGGCTACATTGTAGCCACTGAGTTTGGATTTAAGGGGCTCGCAGAGCCGAAAAAACTGTTACGAATACGTAATAGCAAAGCAATAGTTCGTCGTGAGGGAAACCAGTGGCGTTTCCAATGAATGGCATGTCGGGCCCTTGAAACGCCTCCCCCTTTCAGCCCTTTATGCCTTGGCATATACGGCACAATATGACACTCCACCACATCTGCCGGCCAAGGCGATGACACCCCCCTCGAAAAAATTCTGCCATTGCCGCTATGATATATCGATGGATCATATGAAAGTCAACACCGCCTTGAGGTTTTCGTACAACCTTTCTGCAGTGCATTTTTTATGGACGTCCTCTAGGGCATACATATTTCATTATCAATAGAAATAAATTTTATCATAGACTAAAGGAGCCAGCCGTACAAGAGAGCAAGATTCAGAAAAAATTTGTAGAGTCAATGCGGTCAAAATATCAAATAAAAGGCAAATTTAAATCTGAGGTCTCACTGGGACCTTGATGTTCTGATAGTAAAGTGCCAAGTTAAAAAAAGAACAAGGTTGATCCCACCGTCATACAGGAACCGTGTAACACGAAACTAAAACGTTTTCTTACTTGTTTAACGTTTCTTGTACATTGTTATGAGATAGCTTATATTATAACTGTTGGTGTTTGACAGATAGAGCACCGTATTACATGAATGCATCCAGGTTCACTCTGATCCATACATCTCCATCCCAACAAGTAATGTCTTTGATTAATTATTTAAGCCGCCTTTCTGGCCACAGATGCCTTTCGTAGCCGTAGTAGTTAACGGTGAGAGCAGCGCCTAAGAAAGTGGTGTTACAGCTAGAGGAGCATGAGTGATTTCTGCCGAATTCGGGCTATGGTCACCTGTTCGCGTCACAATACAATGATCGAACTCCACTTCCAGATTGGAGGGAAACGCAATGAGCGTTGCGTCTTCCCCCTTGTCTGCCCGCAATTTTTCGCGGGGCTAGCATAAGTGGGGAATGCGGAGTGATTCAGGTGAATTAGACGAGTTGCAAAGGTACTTTTGATCTGGATAGATGCTACGAGCAACGCTGGCGCTTTGGCTAAAGTTGCCATCTGGCGGGTGGTAAATAAAGCATTGACAAAATTGTACTTTTCGTATTGGAAACGCGCCCAATAGCACAGACTCGTATAATTGACGCGCTGAATAGTGTAGGTGTAATCGTGGACGTCACGGCCATGAGGCAATTTTTCGCCTTACCGTCACTTTGAGAGGACACTGGCAGATATAAAAGACGCATTTTAAAGTCTACAAAGTATGGCATCGTGCCGCAGTAGATAAGAGGCCCCGTATAAGTTGTCGTGAATTTACAGGTCGTGGGTTCGACACCTATTGATGGAACTCTTTAACTTCTGATCGTGTGTATTTTTCGACTCATTTCCGTGATGGAAATGCTTCACTGAAGTCTTGATGGACCTCGACATTAACACTTTCGTTTTAAAAAAGTTTTATTAGCGCGCATGCGCTGACGAAATGATCGAGAACAGAAATTGCAATCACGTTACACCAACCCAAGCTTATTTAGTGTTTGAATTTAGCCATCTAACTTCAAACGAAACATCTTCAAACGAATTGATTGATATGTGAAGTTAATTGTTCTGAAACCAGCATATGATTATCAGAGACGCCGTAATGGAGGGCTCCGAAAGTTTCGAGCACCTAGGGTTCTTTAACGTGCACCGAAATCTTTTCAAATGAAGTACCATAATCAATTTTAAAAGGCCGAGCAGAGCAACTGTCAGACGGTGACACGGGGAATCTTCTGGGACAATATCGATGTCTTCAATTGCCATAACTGTGCTCTAGAAGTTTCTTGGCAGCTACAAGGCAATTGGTTTTCAGAAGTCACAACGTCAAGGAATCCTACTTACCATTCACAGCGGAGAGGTGAAGAGCGATGCCCTCGAAACGAATCACAGAAAAGTCCAGGATGTAGCCGCCGAAGCTGCGAGTGAAGTGGAACTGACGTCAATGCGCTGTGTACGAAACAGCGAATGATACGAAAGGTCTACTGCAGCTTCTTGACCTAATTCTCGTATTTAATCGTTATAAAAATATAAGGACACTCTTTCGTCAATTATAAGGACATTTCTGTGTATACTCAACACCGGGTGTTTCGAAAGATGTGTCCGAAATTATCGAAAATCCCGATAGTATTTGCTCGCTGTCATGAGAGTCGCTCTTTGTGTGACGGCCGATATTCTAAATAATTTGACACAGTCGTTAAAAATTGCTTTAGCTTTTTAATTAGTTGAGGTACATAGTTATATCCGATGACAAAATGGAAGTCGTTCATGTGGAGATCACAGTGTATCTTTGAAATGAAAAAAATGCCACAGCTTTGCCGCAAAGGCGAAATAATGAAAGCGGTAGCAACAAATCGAAAGGGATTGCGCAGAATGAAAAGCAGATCGAAACTTGCCCCGCGTTTCTCCCGCGCAAATGACTCACAAAACGTTCTTGCAGGTACAGATTCACGTGAATAAGTGTTTCAGTTGTTACTTCGCTGTGTCTGAAAAGCGCACACTTTTCCCAAACGGAGGCTAAAATGATTGATGTGCCCTTGGTGTGCCCGGTAACTACAACAGAATTGTTCCAGGTAAAACCCAAGGCCAGCCAAGACGTACAATCCTCGCCTCCTCACTACCGCGAAATAAGCATGCGTCAAAGAGCGTTGTCCCCCTCCTCCAAATGGAGGCAAACTACGCGTGGGAGATTGGAGCACGCGCTGCCGCGCGATGTGGTGACACGCGCTCATTGCGACATCTTGCTGGTAATGCTGAAAATACGATAGTTTCTTCTGGGATGCCGCGAATAGGGGTAAGTGGTAGATATAAATAGCTTGCCGTTTGCATGGTGGAGGACGACCTCTTTAGTGCCTCAGTGGTTAATGCCTTGCACTCACGATTGAGAGGACTAAAGTTTGATTGCGCACCCCAGAGTCCTTTTTGTTTGTTTTTTCTTGCATTTTTATAAATATCGATACGTATAAACATGCGGTGAGTGATGCCGATGCCGGTGGCAAAAGCCAGCCGCTATCGCAGTCAAATGACCTCTAGTAACTACATTGGCGTAATAAAATTCAACCACATCCATAGGCAAAATCGAAAAACCGATGAGTGCAGCAATCAGAAGACAAGAATGACGTCACTGGTAGGGATGACGGTTTGGTAGGGAAGGTTCTCGAACACTGTAGGTGTGGTTTGTGCTGAAAATTGCGTACACCATAACGGGATGATAAAAAATCTTGAAGAAGGAACGTGGCATCGCCCTCTTCTGAAAAAAGGGCATCATCAGATGAAAGTACAAGGTAAGAAAGTACAAATAATAAAGCACAATAGAACAATAACAACAACAACAACAACAAAATACGTTCTTTCAGTTCGTTGACGTGCATGAAAAGGATTGAGGCGCGCGACATGGACGACTTCAGGTCGCGATCGGCGCCGTTGAAACGGTTCATAATGCCGTCAGGGACAACTTCGTAGTGGAATGGGCCGAGACGTCATACTACCCTGTACGGTGCGGAGTACCGTCGCAGAAGTTTTTCACTGAGTGAACGTTGCCGTATAGGCGTCAATACCCAGGAACGTTCACCGGGCTGGTATTCAACGAAGCGTCGCCGAAGATTGTAACTGCGGGGGTCGGTTGTCTGCTGATTCGTGGTGTGCAAGCGGGCGAGTTGACGAGCTTCACTAGAGTGCTGAAGATAGGGGGTGATGTCGAAGATTTCTTCGTTAGCGATGTTGGGCAGCATCCGCCGAGCGTTGTTGCCGTGTTCCTTCTGTAGACCAACTTGTACGGTGGCATCTGCCTCGTCTCCTGAAAGGCCGTGTTGTATTCGAAGGAACCGAAGTATGGCGTCCCACGTCTTGTTTTCGACGTCGACGTACATGGCCAGCATGTCACCGATTGCCTTGTTTAGACGCTCGTTGAGATCATTTGTCTGTGGGTGGTAGGTGGTGGCTTATCTGGCTATGTCTCAAGATTGGCCGAGTCAAATCAGCAGTAAAGGCCGTACCTCTATCAGTAACGGCAACCTCTGGGGCACCATGAGAAAGTACGATGTTATCAACAAAGAACTTGGCTGTCTCTTTGGCACTACCTTTGGGTAGGGCTTTTGTTTAGGCGTAGCCGGTGAGGTAGTCAGTAGCTACGACAATGGAAACGGCCCTGGTAGGTCCATTCTGATTTGTCGGGACGGTCTGCGAGATGGTTCGATCGGCTGAAGAAAGCCTGCTGTTCTTGTCGGTGGTGTTTTGCTCGCTGACAGTCTCGGCATGTCCTCACGTAACGAGCGACGTCTGTAGTTAGGCAAGACCAGTAGTACCTTGATTGTATCCTCGCGAGCATGTGGGAAACACCAAGGTGCCCTGCCGTCGGATTATCATGCAGTGTCTGGAATAGCACTGGTCGCAGAACTGAAGGCACCACCAGAAGGTACTTGGCTTGAAGTGGTGCGAAGTTTTTTTTGGAGAAGGCCGTTTTGCAGCAAAAACGACGTAAGTGCCCATTTGAATACCTTCGGAAGATTGGAGGTCCTGTCCTCGAGGTATCAGATTAGGCCCCTAAGTTCCGAGTCAACTGGCTGTCATTCAGCGAAGTCATCAGCAGTTATCATTCCCGAGAAGTGGTCGTTATTCACGTTTTCGGGTGGCGGTAGGTCGACGGGGGCTCGCGACATGCAGATGGCGTCGGAGTGTTTTCTCCCGGGCTTGTAAATGAAGGTGATGCCATATTCTTGAAGTCTCAGGCTCTATCGCGTAAGGTGACTTGAAGGGTCCTTCACCATTCTATTTAGTCGCCACTCTATTTTATTTGTTTACACTTTATCTATACTTAGACCTACAGCGCCCTCTGGGGGCACTGTTGTAGGGAGGTTTACAAATTCAAAGTACATTTATATCAGTGGAAACAAGTTGAATAGCACGGCACACAAAAATAAAAACAAATAAAAAATACCTATATCACAGCATACAATATTGTTGTGCGACAACATACTCCTTCAAAAGGGAACAAAATGCTGTGGAAGGGGCGGTCACAATGTTTATTGGAAGGCTGTTCCGTTTGTGTATAGTTTTAGGAGAAAAAGTATTCGCATACGTTGATGTTCGGCAGATATATTCACACACCTTCAACGGATGGTCCCGTCGTGATGAGATGTACGTTGGTGGTCTGATGTATTTGTTTTTGTCGATCCTAGTTTTGTCCTTTATTAGGTTGCAAAAAAGACATAGCCTAATATATTTACGCCTTGAGGAGAGTAACGGCCCACCAAGTGAACTAACAATTTCTCTAGACGTTCTGGTGAAGTCGTAATCACCCGTCACAAACCGGGCGGCACGTTTCTGAATGCGCTCCAATGCATCAATATTTAACTTTGTGCCCAAGTCCCAGGCAGTGCAAGCATATTCTAAAATCGGGCATACATTTGACACGTAAAGAACTTGTTTAAGAACAGAGGAGGCGGTTCTGAAATTGCGGCGTAGGAAGTTGAGCACGCGACTGGATTTAACTGATACCGTGTTAGTTACGCCTGCCTTTTCTCGGTCTCTCTCGTCGACTTTGATTTGCGAGTAGCCAGTCTTGAGGTACATCGACGAAAAGTACTTCACGTTGAGCACCGCTTCTATATGGGGAATAGATGATAAAAAGATGCGAGATGATGGTACTTGGAGTGTTGAATAAGTGGACGAACGGGCACACAGACAGATGCATGGATGAACGCATGAACGAATGCAGGGGCGGATGCATGGACGAACGCAGAGACGAATGCACGAACAGACGCACGAACCAACGGGCGGATGGACGCACGGACAGTCACACAGACAGACGCATGGAGGGACCGAAGCAAGAACGAATGGACGGACGAAAGGTTCGCCCCACTCTCCGTCATTCACTCCATGGATACGCTGCCAATCTTTTTTTTTGAAATTTTGCGGAGATGACAATAACTTACACAGAAACCTAGGGTCCCGTCCTTCTTTTTTTACACTAAGGGTGGCACCCACGGAATCTTGGACTGTTGGATGATGTTGTCGGTCAGCATTTCGTCAACTTGTCCTTTTACGGCCTCGCGTTCTCGCGCCAAAACTCTGTAGGGGCTCTGCCGCAGTGATGTGGCGTTTTCCTTTATTATGCGACGTTTCGCGACTGGGGTTTGGCGAATTTTCGGCGATGACGAAAAGCAGTTCTTGTATTGCAGTAGCACGGCCTTGAGCTGTTCTTGCGTATGCTTCGATAGGCTCAAATTGACTTCAAAGCTGGGTGAGGATCATTGTTCTACGGAGTAGGTTCTGCACAATAGGCGAGAGTGAAAGCATTGGTGGCATCCATTGTTTCGTCGATGTACGTCACCTTTGCGCATTTATTCACCTGTTTGTACTCGTTGCTGAACTTCGTCAGAATAACTGTCACGTTTCCTACTCGCAGCTCAGCAATTTCTCTTGCAACAGAAATATCTCGGTTGACCAATACCTCCTGACTGCCTTAAACAACGCCTTGGAAGTATTCTGGTCTTGGAGTGCTGACGGAAATGATGATGCTTGAGGGAGGACGGATGGCGACGTCTTCCCGCACAATCAGGGCACGGCTTCCCGATAGCGTGCGTGGCGGTAGTACCTTTTCTGATGATAGAATTTTCACGGCTCTAAAAAGGTACCTCAGGCACGGGTGCAGAAATAACTGAGAAGGAATGAAGACGATGGTGTTGTTGTGGGGCCGTGTCTGGACTGCCCTGTTGTCCTGAATCCTGGCATATTGTGTGGAGCGTTAGCCCAGCCAGCGTTAACCTATTAAATACTCCCCGTTACAGTAATATCCACTTTGTTCTTAGGCCGATGACAGCACTGCGGAGGCTCAAGAAGTCCATCCGAAGAATAACAGCTGTCGAGTGATCCTGCAGTACGACGAAGCTTGCGGGATAGAGGCGACTGTTAATGGTCA